GGAAGATTTCAACTTTAACGGACATGTTGACCGGCAAATAAATATTCTAACGGGAACTCTGATCAGTATGTAGTGTCTCTACTTTAAAGAGTCCTCTCCTGCTGATGTTCAGGTGTATATCGGTATGTAGTGTCTCTACTTTAAAGAGTCCTCTCCTGCTGATGTTCAGGTGTATATCGGTATGTAATGTCTCTACTTTAAAGAGTCCTCTCCTGCTGATGTTCAGGTGTATATTAGTATGTAGTGTCTCTAAAGCCTAAAAAGCAGAACATTGCCTCTTTAAAGTGCACCAGCCAGTGATGAAAAACATGTTTTTAAAGTGGGAAGAGTAGCTCATCCTTTCCTTTCAACCCTAACCTGACCTCACCCCTGACTTTGGGTGATGACGGTGATTGGATGGAAAAAAAAGAGATAGCATGTCACTGATACGTTCTCAGAAACTGTGAATGAAAGTTTGCAGATGCATGTGGTTTGAAGATAAAGCGATGAGTCATGTTCCTAAATCTCTCCTGTTTTGTGTCGTTTGACTTCTAAGTACATGGAAATTACCAGAGGTGGAATTAGAGTAGCAATTCCTGCATTCAGTGTATGCTTTCTGGGGTTTTCCCTTCCTGTAGTGTTTTCTGTAGGTTTTTGGGCATGTAAACGTCACAGTTTAGACATTAAATACTGACATACACCTGAACATCAGCAGGAGAGGACTCTTTAAAGTAGAGACACTACATACTGATATACACCTGAACATCAGCAGGAGAGGACTCTTTAAAGTAGAGACACTACATTCTGATATACACCTGAACATCAGCTGGAGAGGACTCTTTAAAGTAGAGACACTACATACTGATATACACCTGAACATCAGCTGGAGAGGACTCTTTAAAGTAGAGACACTACATACTGATATACACCTGAACATCAGCAGGAGAGGACTCTTTAAAGTAGACACTACATACTGATATACACCTGAAGATCAGCAGGAGAGGACTCTTTAAAGTAGAGACACTACATACTGATATACACCTGAACATCAGCAGGAGAGGACTCTTTAAAGTAGAGACACTACTACATACTGATATACACCTGAACATCAGCAGGAGAGGACTCTTTAAAGTAGAGACACTACATACTGATATACACCTGAACATCAGCAGGAGAGGACTCTTTAAAGTAGAGACACTACATACTGATATACACCTGAACATCAGCAGGAGAGGACTCTTTAAAGTAGAGACACTACATACTGAGATACACCTGAACATCAGCTGGAGAGGACTCTTTAAAGTAGAGACACTACATACTGATATACACCTGAACATCAGCAGGAGAGGACTCTTTAAAGTAGAGACACTACATACTGATATACACCTGAACATCAGCAGGAGAGGACTCTTTAAAGTAGACACTACATACTGATATACACCTGAAGATCAGCAGGAGAGGACTCTTTAAAGTAGAGACACTACATACTGATATACACCTGAAGATCAGCAGGAGAGGACTCTTTAAAGTAGAGACACTACTACATACTGATATACACCTGAACATCAGCAGGAGAGGACTCTTTAAAGTAGAGACACTACATACTGATATACACCTGAACATCAGCAGGAGAGGACTCTTTAAAGTAGAGACACTACATACTGATACACACCTGAACATCAGCAGGAGAGGACTCTTTAAAGTAGAGACACCACATACTGATATACACCTGAACATCAGCAGGAGAGGACTCTTTAAAGTAGAGACACTACATACTGATATACACCTGAACATCAGCAGGAGAGGACTCTTTAAAGTAGAGACACTACATGCTGATATACACCTGAACATCAGCAGGAGAGGACTCTTTAAAGTAGAGACACTACATACTGATATACACCTGAACATCAGCAGGAGAGGACTCTTTAAAGTAGAGACACTACATACTGATATACACCTGAACATCAGCAGGAGAGGACTCTTTAAAGTAGAGACAGTACATACTGATATACACCTGAACATCAGCAGGAGAGGACTCTTTAAAGTAGAGACACTACATACTGATATACACCTGAACATCAGCAGGAGAGGACTCTTTAAAGTAGAGACACTACATACTGATATACACCTGAACATCAGCAAGAGAGGACTCTTTAAAGTAGAGACACTACATACTGATATACACCTGAACATCAGCAGGAGAGGACTCTTTAAAGTAGAGACTCTACATACTGATATACACCTGAACATCAGCAGGAGAGGACTCTTTAAAGTAGAGACACTACATACTGATATACACCTGAACATCAGCAGGAGAGGACTCTTTAAAGTAGAGACACTACATACTGATATACACCTGAACATCAGCAGGAGAGGACTCTTTAAAGTAGAGACACTACATACTGATATACACCTGAACATCAGCAGGAGAGGACTCTTTAAAGTAGAGACTCTACATACTGATATACACCTGAACATCAGCAGGAGAGGACTCTTTAAAGTAGAGACACTACATACTGATATACACCTGAACATCAGCAGGAGAGGACTCTTTAAAGTAGAGACACTACATACTGATATACACCTGAACATCAGCAGGAGAGGACTCTTTAAAGTAGAGACACTACATACTGATATACACCTGAACATCAGCAGGAGAGGACTCTTTAAAGTAGAGACACTACATACTGATATACACCTGAAAAATTACTAAAATAGGGCCCCTTGTAGTAAAGTAGCATCTAAATATAGATACAGAAAACTGTATGGAGTAAAGAAATCCATATTTGCTTCCAAAATGTATTGGCGTAGAAGAATAAAGTAACATGAAATGGATACAAGTACTACAAACTCATACTGAAGTACTGTACTTGAGTAAATGTACTTTATTACAGTACTTGAGTAAATGTACTTTATTACATTACACCACTGTGAATTACAGGGCAGTGAGACGAGGCTTTAACATCATTCCTGTTCCGCACATTATCTCACCGCCTCCCCCCAGGAGCACGGAGAAAAGTTCAGATTAAGTCATCAGAAGGATGACGTGAGCTCAGCGTGTCTCACAGTTAGTGAGCCGAGGAGAAGATGATGATGATGATGAGAGGGGGGGGGAGGAAGGCTAGACAGTGGTGGAGGTGGGGGGAGAATTAAAAATCCCTGCAGAATGACATCATCAGCAGAGGAGGAAGTGAGGAAGAAGAGGGGTTCAAGAATCCATAAATCATCTGTGGAATCACTTTCCAGAGAACAAACGGACCTCTGCATCTCTGTGTTTTTTAAGAAAAGCCTCAAGACCCTCCTGTTCCGCACCCCATTTAACTGACTGTCCTTTATTTTATTTATTAAATTATTAACCTTGTATGCTCTTCACCTTTTTTGATGTTACCATATTGTATTCAATATGCTCCTTAGATAGCATTGTGAAGCACCTTGAGGTGACGTTGTTTTTAAAGTGTGCTATATAAATGATTATAAATCATCCCTCCGTCCTGAAGTGAATCCCCTGCTTCCCAGGAATGGTTTATTAAAGAGACAGGGTCAGGGGGAGATGTAAGGGGGGGGGGGGGGGCACGTGGGGAGGAGAAACAGGGAAACCAGAGCTGCTTCTCGGCACAAAGCCCTCTCTGAAATCCCAGCATGCTCGCTGGTGTAGCTCTGCAGACACAGACTCAGCCAGGAAGTCTGAGGGAAAGAAAACCATTTTTTCCTGACGAGTATTACACAGAGCTGGAGCCCATCCTCTGCAGTGGGGAAAGTAACTAAGTACATGTATTTTAGTTAAATACATCCTGGGGCAAATATTGTACTTTTTACTCCAGGAGATTTATTTAACACTCACAGCTACTTTGTACATATAAAAACATGTGATATGCTGACAATGCAGTACTTTCCTGATGAGTAATACACAGAGCTGGAGCCCATCCTCTGCAGTGGGGGAAAGTAACTAAGTACATGTACTCAAGTATTTTATTTAAGTATCTTAGGGCAAATATTGTACTTTTTACTCCACTACATGTATATAACCCTCACAGATACTTTGTACATATAAAAACATGTGATATGCTGACGATGCAGTACTGTATAATACACACAGTAGTTGAAGTATTTACATTTGGTGCACATTGACAAACTACAATATGAAATTGCTCTTGCAAGTATAAAAACAGGATAATATTAAAAACCCGTACAATGTAATGTGAAAATATCCAGGGGTAACTTTTGCCTATATTTGGCTTATCATTATTGTGTATTTCATATTATTCTGAAATGGACCATCGTGCAGAATGAGTACTTTTACTTTTGGTACCTTAAGTATATTTTTAAATCACGACTTTTACGTGTAGTGGAGTATTTTAAGACCATAGAATTTGTACTTGTACTTAAGTAAAGGATCTGAGTACTTCTTACAACACTGATCCTCTGCAATGTGTAGCAGAAATGCAGCTTTCTTTCCTCTGATATAAACTCTCAGACATGTTATTTCCTCCTCACAGTATTAGACCTCACCACAGGCATGTTTGCATCAGTTTAAGTTGCTTAAAAAATGCCAGAAATCTCAGAGGGAGGAATGCGAGACAATCAGAGCAGCTGGATGTCACAGAGAGAGAGACTGCAGCTAAAATGCTTTTCAGGTTAAAAGGTCAGAAATAAATGTCATTTGGTAGGGCAACAAGATCAGGATTTAAAGAAGGGATCAAAAAGGTCTGGGGGTTTTATGATGAGATAGCCACTCTTTTATATTAACGCACAATGCAATTTCCTGAATTGATTGAATTACAGAGAGCTGTGTGCAGACAGAGATCACAGCATTGGCACAAAAGCTGATTAAACAAGTCTCCCACACATGATTCACTTTTGTAAAAACCTTAAAACAGGGGAAATGTTTGGCAAACACATTGGAAAGTTTGCGCACAAAACATATGGTGTTCACTTTCTTCTAAATGTTTCAGCGTGTGGAGGAACTTGTTGCTTAAAAAGTTACATTTTGAATATAAAAAGTGTGTTTTAAAGAGACTCACCTGGCAGAATCAGCCAAATAAAAGTCCACAGAGTATCCGAAGTAGCTCCCATTTGGTCCGGTGTACACAGCCGGGTTCTCCACATCCAGGTTGAACGCCTCCCCAGGCCGGGAAACAGAGAGCAGAAGCCCGCAGAAAGAGAGCAGGCAGCGGGCGAGCATGGCTCCAGTCCCCGGCGTCTTTACGCGGAACCGCTCCAAGCGCATTTTTTAAATAATTAATCCACTAAAGTTGGGTTTGAAGACGGGGAAAGTGTCCAAGTGTTGAGTCCACAGATGAAGCGTGAAAACAGAGGTGTATTTGGGGCTAAAAGTGCATCCCTGTGACTCTTCGCTTGGTGTCTAAACGCTCCTCTGCGCGTCCTCAATGATCTGCGGGAAACCTCCTCTCTCTCCTCCTCAGCTGAAGGGAGTTCCCACAGAGGAGGAGGAGTCTGTGGTTCCCTAAAGGAAAAGAGGAGGACACTTCTAATCCATTGACCTGTCTCTGAGAACATGTTTACTTTGTGGTTTAAAATGTGGTCACTTTTCAGTTTAGAGACTTTCTTATCCGGAGGATTATTAACCAGAGGAACAATGCATCCAAATCCTGCTTTCGGTTTTATCTCACTGTTATTTTATGTGGCTGTAGAGGCTGTTAAAGTCAATGAAAGATAATCCTGAAAAGCTCTTTATCTCTGCAGGTTGTCACTGAAATGCAGGATTTATGCACTCTTTTAATGCAATATATACTTTTTACTGGCACTAACTTTTTACAATGCATCTTATTGTTAACCTGGTTTCGTAACAGAATCAAAATACGTCCTTTATCATGATTTATCAACGAGGACATAGGGTTTTGTGACAGTTGCTGAATGAAATGCATAGAAGATAAATACAAAAATTGATTAAAAAATATGTATAAAAACATAAGAAGGTAAGTTAAAGTATGAGTGTGCTTAATACACATTGAGAAATCTTCTTTTAAGTCAAATAAACTACTGTGGTGGAACATTACGGAACATAATTCACTGTGTTATAGAGTGTGTTGCGCCACGGACCTGTTAGGGAGCGCACCTGTGGTTTGTTATCATTCTAGCTTGAGTAGCATGTAATGAAGTTGTTCCTACCTTTCTGTAAACTAATGGAAAGTGTGGAGTTCCATACTCAACATGCTCCCATTCATCGGCTCTACACTACATACAATCAAAGATAGTGTTAAAGACATAAGAAGGTAATTAAGAATGTGCAGTAAAACTTAAGATATTTATTTAAACACAAGAATTATAGCAAAAATTCCAATGAAAAGATCAAATAAAATACAAATGTTTAAATAACCATATTAAAGAAATAATGTGCAATACAAGTATTACAACAATTAAGATATGTATTTAAGCATAAGAAGTTAAAGTTATTTAAGTAATATTTTAAATAAATAAAATATAATATATTAATATAATTAACCAATTTGTATCACATGTGTGCTTGCCACTTTATTTAATATGTTAGCCTACTTCATTTATTTTCCCTCCGTGAGACAAAAAGCAGATTTCTGATTTAATTTATTCTGTTTTGATATTTTCTCTCCAGCTTCTTTCCCAAGAACCAAAACCAGGAATATAATCAGCCACTGGTTTAAAAAAACTCCCAAATAAACATTGCCCATAATAAACCCAAGGCTTATTTTCACAGCTCACACACCCTTGCTTACTAAATGTGTGATGCACATGTATTTCTGTCTAATTACAGCGTGGATCTGATTCGGGCGACTCGTGGGGGAAGATTTCTCATGGAGAGCGAGCAACGACTCCTCTCTGAAATGAGACCTTTAATAAAGATCTGAATTAGGCCCTGTTGGTTTAGCTGATTCTCCTGAAGCCTCGGGGAGGAACCAGGGGCCAAAAGTGGACGCGGCAACATGAACTCTGCTCGTATTTATATCTGAAGTCTGATGGGGGTAATCTATAGAAAGAGGGGGGGGGGGGGGTCACAGCTGTTGGGGGCACTTGATGGTTCAGAGCTCTAATCCTGAAAGGGGTCTCACTCCTCACTCTGTTTTTAGGTCCTGAGCAGAATTCAAGGCGTGGTTGACAGAAAGGCGGATTATATTGGGAGTCCAGACTTTCCCTCCGAAGTCACGTCTTGGTTTTTAGAAAAGCCCGTCATGTGCTGGAGTGTCACCTGAAACCATGTGACTGAATATATGTTATTGAGAAAGAGACAGGAGCTTCTGAGATCCACGTGGTTTAGTTAGATAGATAGATAGATAGATAGATAGATAGATAGATAGATAGATAGATAGATAGATAGATAGATAGATAGATAGATAGATAGATAGATAGAGAGAGAGAGAGAGAGAGAGAGAGAGAGAGAGATAGATAGATAGATAGATAGATAGATAGATAGATAGATAGATAGATAGATGGGTAGGTAGGTAGGTAGGTAGGTAGGTAGGTAGGTAGGTAGGTAGGTAGGTAGGTAGGTAGGTAGGTAGGTAGGTAGGTAGGTAGGTAGGTAGGTAGATAGATAGATAGATATATAGACAGATAGACAGATATACAGATAGAGAGATAGAGAGATAGATAGATAGATGGATGGATGGATGGATAGATAAAAGGTTAGAAAATAGGGGAAAGTGTCCATTCCAGTTTCCTCAAAGTCAGAGTTATAGACGCTTCCCCAAAGTGGCTATAAATACCACAAGATAGTCACTTTAACATGATGTAAAACAGCAGAAAAGCATCATTTATTGACATTTTTTGCATGTAAAAAATAACTTTACAATGAACACATTATCTAAATAGATGACAGGTCGACTTATCTTTGCAACTCTACAGAAAAAGTCACCCACACCACTTTGATTTTGGTTTCTGGATAGTCAGAAAACCCATGACCTATGATGTTAGTTAAGGGTGAAAATACTGCTAAGATAATACTGCTATCAGCCTTCAGTCTTTGTCTTCTGGCTGATTGATGCCACAGCTCTCCTGTTATCTCTCCGCACACAGTCATCTGTTTAGCATCGTAAAGGATCAGGATTTGCTGTAAGATAAGGAGAAATATTCCTTTTAAGTGTTCCTGTAGTATTTGAACCTACTGTACAGTGTGTGTTGTGTTCAGCATATTTTCTGTGTGAAGCGGGGTCTGAGTAATCGGTTCTGGCTACAACTGAACAGTATTTTCCGTCTCCCTCCAACTGTGATTTCCGTTAAAAAAGGGGGTGTGTTTTTTTTTTTTATTCCAATGCCTCTGCTTTGACATCATCATTTGGCAGTTATGGAAACAGATCTGAAGCAAAACACTTAAAGAACATTTCACAAACGCTCCGCACAGCCGGACAACTCTTTAAATTTAGACCTGACACATTGGCACTTCTGCAAGGCCATGCACATATACACGTACACACAAGCACATGCACACGCACACGCACACACACACACACATGCACACACACACACACACACGTACATGAACTCTCCTCTTTCTTGCAGCTGAGCATATGTTTTCCGATATAGCCAGACTATTATTAATAGCACTAGCAGAAGGCCACTTAGTGCCATTATCTTCACGGTTATGCGGAGATATGAAGGTGTGAGCTCTGCTTTTCATTTGCTTCACATTTAGTTATGAGGCTGTTAAACAGAAGTGGATACACTAGAAAGGAAACGTCGTCATTTGTCAGCTGTCTTCAAAGTAATAGAGGAACTCAGGCAGGCAGGTCTCTTTGCGTCTCAAAATAGCCTCGTACTGTTTCACCCTGCTTTGAGTCTTCATGCTATAAGCTAAGCTAACCTCCTCCTTGTCCCAGTTTAATATTCAACAGACAATCTCTGCCTTAAAACCTTTTACAAAATGTTGAAGCACTACTTTAACTGTTACTCTTAGAGAATTCCTGCTTTCATACTTGATATATTTAAGTGTACTTTGAAAGGTATGGTGCGTTCAAACTTCAAACCGAACACAACTTTTTTTGCTCGCCCCGATTACATGTAAAGTCATTGCAAAGACACGGATATAAGAACAATCGCCTCGGGTGGCGTGAATGACGCTCGCTTCATTACAGAAATCTGTGTGACAGGAATCAGTGAAACCACCAATCAGCAGTGAGAATCTCTAACGGTTGTCACTGATATTGTGGGATCAGAAAACCAAAACAAATCGTCAGCTGTTGATGAGCTCTACGATACGTCATAATCATTCAGAAACTGGACAAAAATGAGTGTTTATAAATGTTCAAACCACACTCTGTCTATGGCATGGCGAATCAAATCACTGGTTTATTGATGTCTTTATGACGTTATCGTGGTTTCACTTTCATGGAAACGGTTGAAAGGTCCTGTCATTAACGATCGGTCAGTCATATTTGGTTTCTTTTGTATTTTGAATGTTTGAATCAAGCCCCTCTAAAAGGAGCGATCCTGGAGACTGTAGTTGAACTGATCTGAGGAAGGCTGTTGTTGGTTTGTAAACAACCAAAATGAGTTTAATGCACGACTGAACGTTTTGCTCCTGCTGACACAAGTCAAATTAAAAGGAGTTTAATTTTGACATGAATCACTAGTGAAACACTGTGAAGATTGGTGTCCACAGGTGGTGAAAAATGTAGTGATGGACTCCTGGTTGTCATTAGATGTAGCTTTTAAAACAAGCCTTAAAAAGCAAATAAGTGTCTACGCCAAAACATCAAGCTACTCCTTTAAACGTTCAATATAAACATTGTTAGTGACTCTTATCAAGAAGACAATCCCTACATCTATCGTCCACTTTTAAATCCTAATTCCCAGATCCTTATCTCACTTTTCTTTGTGGCACAAACAGTGATTCTCGGGGGGGTCGGACACCCTGATGGCAGCCATTAGCCAACTGTTAGTGTTTTAAGTCTCAGAACAAACACAGTTTTACCACTCAGGAACAGACGGCAAATAACGACCACAACAGGCAGCCTGATAGTCTGCACACACACACCGGTCAGCAGGAGGATTTCCCTCTGTTTGTTCCTCCTGAGTGCATCCATCCAGGGATTAGTGCCACAACGTTTGGGAAAAGAAACAAACGATTGTTTTAAAATGTAGTGATAAGGTCATTATGGTTTGATGTACATGACTGGCTTCACCTAAACATTCATGGACTGCAACACTTTTCTTGAAAGGAACAATATTTATGGACACATGCAAAGATTACATTGTATAAAAACTTTCTACGTTTATAAAAGTCATCTAAAGGCCCTGACACACCAAGCCGATTTCGGCCGTCGATAGATGTCTGGCCTGTCTGTCCTGTCGCCCTACTCAGATTGGTGTCCCCCGCACCGTTGTGTCTTTTCGGCCGTGCCGACACCTTCCGCTCCCGATTCGGGAGGCTGTCGGCAAAAAGCTGTCGGCAAAAGA